TCCTGACGGTAGGGTTTACTCTACCCCGCTACCCCAAAATTCAAATACACAAAAAAATAATAAAATTTGGGTGCCATCTACAGAACATAGATTTGCTGTGGTGAATATATACACTGACCGCTGTCTATAAGAGTGTTAGGTGGGTGTCGCGTGCGAATGTGCACCAGAACGCACCAGTACGGAGTGAGCAAATAAGACGTCAAAACAATACGTAACGTTGTGAAGGTAATGTTGTCAAAGGCAGTCGATGTTTATAGTCCGAAGGAGACGGACGTGTGGATCCTTGAAGGACGTACTCTTTACACCCGGGATCCCACGGAAGCAAACGTTATATGAAGTTGGATCCTTGAGGACGTTTTACCCCGGGATTCCAAGATAGACCCCAGCAGGAAGCTGGTGAACACTACATTCTCGGCAGTAAGCCGGTATACTTTCATTGCTTAATTCGGACTTGTCCGAGGACGAAGATAATCACCTGGATCTCAAGGTCGGACTGCGACCTATCGTGAGGACATATCAATACATGGATGTACGAGCGAGCTGCTTTGGTTGAGCGAGTGTGAGTTGTTGCTTACATATTTTCTCATTGTGTCGATTATCGATATTGTCAATACACAAATGGAACTTTTAAAGAGAGTTCTCGTTCTGCTACGTTGGAAGCTTCAGCATTCATCATGTTGTGTTACTCTTGGCCAGTGGCATGTTAAGTGTTGATGCCATTTGTTACATTGCGACACCCCCTAGTCACTTTTACACTCGTTACAATGCAGCCTTTTCTGCACGTCACAAAAAATCTCTTCCAAACTGTGATTCTGGTACCACTGTTGCAGTAAACAAAAACAGCCCTAAGATGATCCGCACAGAAATTGAGCCTTGGTACATCTAGGGTTGTGAAATGTGCTCACTAACCTCTAAGCAACAGAGTTGCAGAATCAAAAACTTAAAAAAAAACACTACAAATATATGACTCACTTATATTAATTATATGTATAATTTCTGATGTCATAATAATAATAGTTAAGTTAGTTGTGTATCCTTTGCTGGAAATTACAAAACTACTGCAGTATTTGCTGGTTGTTTTTAGTTTTACTAGGGAATTTTACTTTTAGTAATTTGCCATTGCCTTCTGAATGATGTGCTCTCCATACCACTGTCAAAATCAGGGCAAAGCAGTATACTGCCAAATTCCTGCAGCTGAATCGAACGGGATAGTAAGGAAATTACAAACCATATTCGTAACTACTAAACACAAGATAAACACACATCTAAACAACACACACACTGAAAGACATCCATACAATTTAGACAGACAAAGACAACTTAGCAGACACATGGACAGCAATAGACGGTGTCATGAAATAAATGGACTGATGGATGCATTACCTTATATCTTACAGAAATGTGGCTATAAAATTCCAATTGGTCATACATAAGTCTACTTAAGGCTTGACACGAGTTAAAGAAATAATTGTATTAAACATTAATTATGAATGTCAATGAGGAGGGAATTGAGGAAAGGGGGGGGGGGAAACCACACAAAGAAACAAATTTTATTTATAGCAAAGAAACGAAGGTTGTAACCAGGGTCTCTATCAACGAGCACCACAACAGGAAAATAAACAAAAAGAATCCTGACGAGTTACAGCAAAATATGCCAGACAATACACTGCACAATTGATTGTCTGATATATTTTGCTGCACCTTGTCACGTGCGTTAAATATGGTGATAGACCCATAATTTTAAACACCAGCTCACACTCAAGGTGTGATTTGATGTGACTATCATACCATAAGGCTGTTGTCTTACCAGCTGCTTTATTTCCTAGGCTGCCATCATATCCGCTGTTTTATTTTCTAGACTGCCATCATATCGGCTGTTTTATTTTCTAGACTGCCATCATATCGGCTGTTTTATTTCCTAGGCTGCCATCATACCGGCGGTTTTATTTCCTAGGCTGCCATCATACCGGCTGCTTTATTTCCTAGGCTGCCATCATACCGGCTGTTTTATTTCCTAGGCTGCCATCATACCGGCTGCTTTATTTCCTAGGCTGCCATCATATCGGCTGTTTTATTTTCTAGGCTGCCATCATATCGGCTGTTTTATTTCCTAGGCTGCCATCATATCGGCTGTTTTATTTCCTAGGCTGCCATCATATCGGCCGTTTTATTTCCTAGGCTGCCATCATATCGGCTGTTTTATTTTCTAGGCTGCCATCATACCGGCTGCTTTATTTCCTAGGCTGCCATCATACCCGCTGTTTTATTTCCTAGGCTGCCATCATACAGGCTGTTTTATTTCCTAGGCTGCCATCATATCGGCTGCTTTATTTCCTAGGCTGCCATCATATCGGCTGTTTTATTTCCTAGGCTGCCATCATACAGGCTGTTTTATTTCCTAGGCTGCCATCATATCGGTCGTTTTATTTTCTAGGCTGCCATCATACCGGCTGCTTTATTTTCTAGACTGCCATCATATCGGCTGTTTTATTTCCTAGGCTGCCATCATACCGGCTGCTTTATTTCCTAGGCTGCCATCATATCGGCTGTTTTATTTCCTAGGCTGCCATCATATCGGCTGTTTTATTTCCTAGACTGCCATCATATCGGCTGTTTTATTTCCTAGGCTGCCATCATATCGGCTGCTTTATTGCCTAGGCTGCCATCATACCGGCTGCTTTATTTCCTAGGCTGCCATCATATCGGCTGTTTTATTTCCTACTGGGGGTTGATGAGTAAAAGAAAAAATAGACTCACTGCCCCTCTAACAAGCAAAGTCATTAAAGAGTTTGTTGAAATCCGATGTTGGAAAGGCGCAGATGTCAAATCTCAGCTGTAAACCACAACACAATGTGCCAGATACTTTTTTTTAAAGGTGAACAAAGAAGAAGAAATGGCTAAATACATAGCTGAAGTGACCATAGGGAAGGCCAAATTTCTTGAGCATTAAAAACCAAAGTACCATTTCTTTGCCTTGGGGTGCACCACAGTTTTAGCATGTTAATGCTATTCCAATATTTCAGACACACCATGGGTGGTTTGGTCAACACTGAACCAACTGTCTTCACTTCCTAGGACATTTTCAACTACCTATACAATATCTTGCAGCAGAACTACAATTTTTTTTACTATGTTTTTGTAGATGTGGTGGCTTAGAGGTTAGTGTAAACATTTCACAATGCAGTCTCAGTTTTTATCAGATTTGATTAATTCAGTGGTTTAAAAAAAATTATGTTGCCATGGTTTTAAGATAGCGGTACAAGAGTCACACTGTGGAAGAGACTGGGGCCTCACTACATAATATTCCCATAGTTAGCAGCTGATATACTGCAGCCAATTTCAATTATGAAAATGGCACAAATGTTAATATTTTCTACATCAAAGTTAGTCTCTAAGTGATACTGACCAGTCACCACTCTGACAGTTATAACATCTGGCATGTGGTATTCCTGTCTGGGCCGATAGGGCTTCAGTGGAATATTGACCGGGTCCACTGACTGCATCTCCAGCTGAACAGTTCCATTTGGTCCAACTCCTAGATCAGCCAGTATTTTATTGTCTGGGATGGGTGCTCCTGTGAATGTAAAAGTATTGCACAACTGGTATCAGTAACACAGAATCATTACAGTAATAAAACTACTTCTTCTTCTTTTGTTCGCATGAAATAGATTATCTATACCTGCAATATTGTCCCTAATATGAACTTCACTGTCTTTTTTAATTCACTCAGCGACTCATAAAGTTTGGCTTTCATCGATGTTTCTCAAAGCCAAAAGTTGTTTTGCCTTGATATTGTAATCGGGACAGTCTTGGAAGAAGGTGATCTGTTTTTTCATGTGCCAAGCCGACCGTCCAGAAAGTGATGGCAAACTACTGGACGTAAATTTGCCTAGAAAAACCACACAACAGCCAGGGGCTGTTGGGGTTGGTTCTACAACGTCCTGTAAAAGATATGCAACTAACCTAACCTTCTGAAGACAGTGTCTATGTTTGACATTTATAGCACAGTGTTGGTAAGAATATTGTGTGTTCTCTTAGTGCTCATATTCACATTTCAAAACTGATGCCATTTGGCCTAAAACTTGATTTAATTTATTTCATCTTTGGTGGATTTCTTCATTAGTTCTTCTATTTTCTGAAAAAATGCTCCCCAGATATGTAAGATTCTTTGCCTGCTTTAACAAGTGTTCATCAGTTTTAATACTGGTGGTTCTTACTTTTCTACAGAATATCATAACTTCTGTTTTGTCTACACTAATCTTCAGATTATAGTTGTCGCATTCTGAGTGGCATCTTTTAATATGTTTTTGTAGTTGTATTGCTGTTGGTGCTATGATTGAACTCCATGCTATCACAAAAGGCTGTCAAGAATCTTCTCACATTGTCATTTATGTTCAACGATTTGTGCACAGACATGATTGTTTTTTTTTTTTACAAAAGATTCATAGAAAGTTGCAATTTCTTTCTGTGACAGCAGTGCCCATACTGGATGGGTTATTCTGTAGATTTTACCTATAGAGACATCCTCTGCCTAGCGCAGTTTAACTGGTGACCAACCAGTAGTGAAAACTGTCTCTCTTTCCACAGATATTTCCAGTGGTCATAACATGTTCCAGTTTTTCCCATCTCATAACATAATAAAGAAAAATCTGTCTCTTTCTGATGTTTGTAATCAGTTGTCTTCAAGCCCTCACCTCTTTCAAAACATCTAGGCTGCTCTTGTTAGCTGATCAAGAACTTCTAAGGATTCTTCTAAAAAACCACATCTCTGAGGCCTCAAATTGTTTGGCCTGTTTATTAATCATCTAGTTTTCACAGCTGTATGTTAAAACTGTCTCTGTATAGCACACAAGAATTCTTTTTCTAACCTCCAATAACATGAATTTATTGCATTATTTTATAAAAGACAGTTTAGGCTGGTTCTATTCTGTTCTTTATCTGTGCACACATTTTCTATTGGATGTTATCTATATGCCCAGATACTTACATTTATGTACTAGTCCTAAAATAATGCCTTTGACTTTTATTATACATTTAGGCACTATTATTTTCTTTGATATTACCATTACTTCTGTCTCCCCATTATTAGGCTGAGGCCTATTTTATCACTTTCTGCCACCACCGTATGTAGCAATTTCTGTAGTTCTGTCTCATTTGTTGCTATCAAGATGGTGTCATATCACCATAATTCTACAATTCCTGGCATATCCATGATAGATCTCATTATATATTCATTGAATAATGAAAACAAATCAAGTAATCCTTGTCATACTCCCCTCTTTATACAAACTATAGAACTTACAGTTAAACATTCATATAATTGGCCTAGTGTCTACAACTATTAAAAATACACTTAAACATTAATTTAATACTGTCTGAAACTAGTTAACACTATTAAACGTTAACAGAATACTGTCTACAATCATTACCCTTACCATTAAAAATTACAGAATATTGATCACAACTAACAAATTTACTATTAGACATTAAAAATAGTCTATAACCTGTAAACGTACCATTAAACATTAACATAATACCATCCATTACCATTAAACATAATACCATCCATTACCATTAAACATAATACCATCCATTACCATTAAACATAATACCATCCATTACCATTAAACATTAAATTTAATACCATCCATAACTAGTAAACTCACCATTAAAAATTAATACAATACCATCTACAATTAGTAAACTTATACTAAACATTAATGTTATACCGTTTTCAATTATTAAGATTATCATTAAAGACTAACATAATAAAGTCCCAAATTAGTAAACTTACCACTAAACATTATCATAATTGCAGATGAAGGCATTTTCAGCTCAGATGCAAAATGTGACTTCAGTGATTCTAGTGTTTGGCCTAATGTACATGCCAAAGTTACAACCTGGCCACTTGGGACTAACACACACTTGACTGCAAGAAATAAATTTGAAGTCACAAGTGAACACAATATCTGGCAACCTGCTGGAAAAAAAATACTTGTGCATGACTTCTTTTCTTTTTTTTTTTGTGTGTTCACTCTTAAAGGGTTGATTAGCATACTGTTTTGTGATTTACATCTAGTCTGTGATATATGTGCATTTCAGGCTAACACATCCAAGTTAAGCTCCTAATTAGTCACATTTTATGACATGCTTGGTGGGGGAGGGGTACACGGGGAACTGGTACATGAAACCAGTCTCTTAAAATTGGGTACCAGACTGTTGCATGCACGTCTATTTTACATATCTAGCTTATTTGTATGCAGACTGTTGTTTCCCTGCTTCTCAAGCCATTGCACTCTGACTTCGAAGGAAGCCTCCGAATTAGTCGACTCTTATGACATGCTTGATGGGGAGGCAGTGGGTCTATTCTTGTTTCCCCCACCATGGGACCCCATGGTGGGGGAAACAATATAATAATAAGTAAAAAATAATAAAGTAAAAAGTAATAGACTCTCTTCCACACCAACTCTGTGGGTGATGTGGTCAATATCATGCCAGCCACCTTTACTTCCCATGACTTTTCCTATTACCTATTTAAGGCTGGGTTGACCTGGAAGGCAAGGTCATTTAAAAAAAAAACATCCCGACTGATGTGAGGTCCGAGGCAAGCGTCTAGCTCAGCGTTTCTGAACCTGCAGGTCATGACGTTTTTTGTGTGTGGTTTGAACCACCCTTTCACAGGGGTCACCCAAGACCATCAGAAAACACATATTCATTGAAGTTATGAAGAAAAATAATTGTCTGGGGGGTCACCACAGCATAAGGTAACTGTATTAAAGGTTTGCGGCATTAGGAAGGTTGGGAGCCACTGGTCTAGCTGCTACACCACGGCGGCTACCAAGCATGTAACAACTATTTTGAAATAATTTATTAGTTTGCTCTAAGGTAGCATCGTGGTTACTTCCCTTGTCTGCTGAAACTGTATGGTATGGGTTCAATTGCCAGGATTGGCAGTATGACTGACGTCAACCCAAAATCATTTTTAAAAAAAATATTTGTATATATATATATATATATATTAAAAAACTAAAAACATTTTTTAGATACCTGTTGCTGTTGCTTCCAGGTTGACAGTTAACTCCATCTCTTCGAAACATATGGTGGATGGGATTGTTAAATTAATGCCAGGAACTGTTAACAGTGATGTTACTTCAGCTGGTTCTAATAGCACAAAGTAAAACATATTAAATAGAAAAATGAACAGTGTCGTTCAATTTTTCATGAACCACACATTCAACCATCTGTCTATTTGTCTGCTCCTATTTCTATCTATCTTTCAATATGTCTGTCTGTCTGTCTGTCTGTCATCTTTGTTTGAGTACGTATGTCTGCCTCGCTTGTGTGTCTGTGCATTTTTGCATGTATATCTGAAGGAATGCATTTGCCATTCACATGCATTTTTACATTCTATGAATTTTGATACACGAACATAATATGCTCTATGTTTAAAATACAACTGCCATGTAAAAGATGAGTGTTTGAAAAGACTGAATGTAAGAAGGGCCTGTATGCCTAATTTATGATCCTTTCAGAAAAAAATTGTTCATTCTGCCTTTCTGTATACTTATTTGTCTGTCACCCCATTACACTGTTGATGGATGGGTCACTGATGTAAAGTTAATCAGGTCTTTGTATTTCTGGTGATCAGATGTGCTAGACTTAATCTTCTCATTTCTAAGCTCCTTCCTCTCAATCAATATGCAGCCTAGTTCTTTATTATTGCCTTATCTCTTTTTCTGTGGTCCTCAGGCCTGCATTAACTTGAAATATCTGTCCAACTCCATTGAATCATTATTACAGAGATATCTCTGTGGGTTGCCTGGCCCCAATTTGAGAGAAAAAAAAAGAAAGTGACTCACTACCTCTCTAACAATAATTAGAGATCTTTCCTCCAAAGTCGCAGCACGTCTGCCTGAGAGGTGAGAAACCAACAAGTAAGCTGGATCTGTAAAAATTCTTCTTCTTTTCATTCTTCCTGCCAGTGGTTTTCAGATGAGAAGGCTAGACCGCTGAGAAGTCCGATACAAGAAGTGGAAAAACAACCGGAACTTTCCACCTGATTTTATAGCCGGTGAATGCTAATAATAATAAGATTTATACAGATAATTCAATCATTTATCTGTCTGTAAATCTTTCTAACTGACATTCAATAATTTATTTAAGAAAGCAGAATACAATCAAAGAAAATATCACAATTATAATTGTCAAAACTTACGCAAAATTATGCTTTCATTATCGTTAGTCATCTGGAATAAATAAATGAAAATCAACACATACTTATAAATGTGAATGGATTCTACTCAGCTTCAGAAAATTACTTTCAGAAATTTCTCAACATTGACAACAACAGTGAAATGAAGTGGTCACTCTTTGTTATAACAAATATGACCAACTAGGCAACCCTCAAAAAGGTGTCTTCATTGGCCACGTCTGTCATACAGAAATCCACAACTATGGAATACGGACAGAATTAATCTCAAATCATTGAAATGGCACCATAGGTTACATAAATTTATTTTAACAAAGCATAGGTTGAATAATAAACACAACAACATTTACAAACATATCTGACCATAACACTGTGTCAAGAGTAATCTAAAGAATACTGGAGATGACAATTTTGATTCCCGGCATGGTAACTATAGCTTTTGATTTTTATGTTGTCTAGTGTGTCCTTCTATCTTTCTACTTTTTTCTACAAGTGCTGATCAATACATTATCTGTTTGTTATTATATATATAATATTTCTACAGACTCAAGGCTTCCCTCACTGTTTACTTATGTGAATTACATCTCTAGGAACTAAATACACAACTCTTGTAGGAGACTAGGGTATTGTTGGATGTTTTTCTATGATCTGAGTAAACATAAAATGCAAAAGTATAATAACATTTTGACTGGTGCATTCAATGGCACAAAGTTCATTGTTTGAGACTGAAAGAGTTAAAGGTGAAGAGAGCCAGGGCAGATCAGAAAGAAGAAGGAGAGTTCGACATCATGGACAGCATGGACAAAAATCCATATCAGAAATGAGAACAGTACACATGACAGAAGGCTGTGGGTAGGCAGGATTACCATTGATACATTATGGTATGTGGGAGGATGTGAAAACATGAGTCCGCCTGGAACCAATACTGAACTTTTTTGGTAGACAACAGATCACATGATCTGGCCATGTAACAAGACTGGCAACAGAGTGCTTATGGGAATGTCCCGAGTGCTATGATGTCGATTTTTAATTCAACATTCAACATTCAATGTTTAACATTCAACATTCCTTCTGTTTGCTTTATTTATAGTACTTTTCAGTGTCTCTGATATTTCCCTGGTTCATCTTCTGCGTGGTTGAGCTCTGGCTGTGTTACCAGTGCATCTGTATAACTGAAGAATTCCAACTCCGATGGCACCAGTAACTGACTGTATATTCGTCTCGCCTTTCCCTTGAGTGTTCAGCATCTGCCAGATCCCCTGGTAACTCCTTGCAGCGCCATTCTCTTCAGACCGTAATGATCTATTTGTGCTTCAGCACTGTTCACTCGCTCCCAAAGGACCCTCACAACATCCAGCATGTCATACATCAGTTCACCACCAAGTGGTGCAGAACTGACCAGTCTATCCGTCTGCTCATTTCCCAACACACCAGCATTACCTGGTGAGAATATCCAAAGGATGCTAATTACCCAGGACTTCTGAAGTGATGCTTGCCACTCTATACGGAGCATAATGTCTCCACATTTCTCAACATGCTATGTGAATCTGTTACAGTCATGGCATGTGTGTTATTTTCAAGCCATCGAAACAAAAATAGCAAACAGAAAGGAACCATTCCAGTGATCTCTTTCTGTCCTGATGCAGCGAGGCATTCCAGGAGTAGTGAGAAGAAGAAGCAGACCAAAACAATCAGGCCCAACAAGTGATTGTGCTAACATCTGTGCTACATTAGCTTCCTGGTTGTGTTATTAGACGTTAACTGCATTCTCATTCGTCGTCTCATCCTTAGTTACCTCATCGAGGTGTTGGAGGAAGATATAAGGATCTTCTGCATGCTGTTTCTAATGTGCTGCATAAGTCAGTCTTTATTTCTTCAAGCCTACTTTTGATGCCTTTATTCCATATTTTTTGTGTGTGCATGGTCTTCCCCTTGCTCTGTGTTCATTATATTTCTTCAGCATAGCTTTTTGTGATAGCTGGTTCCAAAGCATTCTTGTGAGATGGCCTCACAATCTCATCTGTTGTACTTTCATCAACTGATGACTGGCTTTAGTCCTATTCCAGTGTTTCCCAAACCTTCTTGTGCCATGCCCCACCTAAGCCTTTCTAACATTCTTATGCACCCCTATGTAATTTAAACTCTGTACGAATCTATTTGACCCCTTGACAATCAAATTACTCCCCTTGACAATAAAACTGACCCCCTAAACAATAAAAATTGCCACCCTTAACAATTAAATTACTCCCCCTCAACAAAAACAAAACTGACTCCCTAAACAATAAAAATTGCCACCCTTAACAATCAAATTACTCCCCTTAACAATAAAACTGACCCCCTTAACAATAAAAATTACCACCCTTAACAATCAAATTACTCCCCTTAACTGACCCCCTTAAGGATAAAATTGCCACCCTTAACAATCAAACTGATCCCATGTGGGTCATAGGCCCCATATTGGAAAACACTGTCCTAATCTTTATTGAATGTGTTTTTCATACAGACACATACACATCTCCTAAATTCTTCTTGAATTTCACTATATAGTTAAATGTTCCAACTGCTTTCTAGAATTGTCACAGATTTATCTTTAACATCACACTAATTAATCCACTAGTGGTTGATTACTTATTACTTCACTTATATCCAGTTTCGTCCTTTTTAGGACGAAATTTTTTGTTATTTGAAGCCCCACCCTGGCTTTTGCCAGGGGCCGCAATATAGGCAGGCCATAATTATGGCCAATTGTCTGAACGCGGTTTCTGGGACCTCTCCACGGCGATCCTCATCCACATGGTGGCACTTTGTGTCATTGGGTGTTTATCGCTTGTGTGATGTCCTAGTGGGGTAGAAAGTCAGTCAGTCATCCACTAGTAGTTTAAAATAAATTCCCGTCCTTTTCAGGATGAAATTTTTCATTATTTGAAGCCCTACTCTGGTTTTCCTAGGGGCCGCAAAATAGACTGGCCATAAATATGGCCTAAAGGCTGAACGTGGTTTCTGGGACCTCTCCACGGTGATCCTCACCCACAGGGTGGCACTTTGTGTCATCGGGTGTTTATTGCTTGTGTGATGTCCTGGTGGGGTAGAAAGTCAGTCAGCCGTAGTCCACTAGTATTGAACTCATCTCCTTGTGAGTTGCAATTTTGAGGCCCTTCCCTGGCTTTAGCCAGGAACCGCAATATAGCCTGGCCATTAATATGGCCTAAAGGCTGAATGCCGTTTCTGGAACCTCTCCACGGTGATCCTCATCCACATGGTGGTACTTTGTGTCATCGGGTGTTTATCACTTGTGTGATGTCCTGGTGGGGTAAAAGTACTACTACTACTAATTAATCATGCACACAAAATAAATTTTCATTGAAATAATCATACAAAGATTACCTGGTAAGCATTGCTGGATTCATCTTGAGCTACCACTTGTCTCAGCTCTGGGTAATCGTCTCCTTCATTGTTTATATTCTGATCAATGCTCTCAAAAGTATTCCCCTCCATCTGAACTAGAGATTCAGCCTTTTTCTCATCTTGTTGAAAAATGGCATTAGCTTTCTTAATCTCAGGGGGGCTGACTTCATTCAAGTATCTGCCATCTTCATTTTCAAAATATTCTCTTCTCTCTTCTTCTTGTAGATGATTCTCGTGACCATCCTCATTGACTTCCATAGGAATGTGACAGGTAATGTCTGTCTGGCTTGCTGCACTCTCTGTATAATTGACAACTTCATCTTCTGACTGAAGAAAATCATACACGGCCTGGTTTTCAGCTGGTCTCTCTTGATCCTCATCAAGATCATCTTTGCCTGAATAATTTTCTTCAGTTTGGGTTACATGTGTGTGTTCCTCTTCTTCATTATTGTCAGGATTATCAGTGTCTTGCTCCCAATCTGCCATGGCTAAATAATGTGCAAAGTAGAATGAACAAAAGAGCAATCAATAGCTAAATAAACACATTAAAAAAAAAGCTTATTGACTGTCCCATTACATCTACAACAATCATTTTAGCCTATGCAAACATAATGAATACTAGATATAGGAACATTACAAGAATGCCCCCTGCTATTCAGAGCCTGAAGATTTGATCAGAAATTAATGAAATGTCACTACCAATCAGACAATAAAGTACAATGGCCAGAATAAAGGTTATCAGCAATAGATCTCCAACATTAAATCTCACACAGATTAAATTCTTTCTCAACCTGTTTTTTTTTTTTTTTTAAAGTCAATTTTTTTACATTACCCTGCCATTTTTTTATTACCTTCCTCTCCTACAGTGATTTTATATCAAAGCTATGTCTATTAATTGTGTTTAAATAATTCACTTGTCTCATTTTTTTATTGTTTTTTTTAAAATTCCTTTTAACAACTATCTTGTCCTTCTCAGCATCACCAGAACTTCCGAAATCAATTGTTTTCATTTTGTTTCTATGAAACACAATTTGTTCTTCTGTTCATCCACTTCTTCAGGGCCTCAGTCAAATTTTCGAACTGCTGGCTTACTGTCCACATTTCTGTGCCATGTAGTCTAGTTAAGCATTCATAATATCTGACAATTCTAATTTTCTTTGTCTTGTGTCTCGGCGTTTGGTTTTGTATGCTCAGGTCAGACCCTCAGGTGGGCTGACTCTGTGAACTTGCATGTCAATTGCAGATCCTCTATGGTTCCCAACAGCTTACTCTGCACACTTTGCTCCTAAGGCCAGGTTTCTCTACGTAGGTTAAGAAATCTTGGTAATCTCAGTTTCAGCTTCATAGCAAACGGGTCACCCCATAGTTGCTCCACTTCTGTGCCAACAAAAAAACACAGAATGTTCATCCAGACCCTTGTAGAAAGATTGACAGACTGCTGTCTCAGCAGATGCACTAGCATACATAAGCATTAAAAGCATACGGTAGCCATCAGAAGTCTGACATTAGAAATGCAGTTCATCATCGACGGTAGCAGAAGTTACTAACAAATCAGCAGTTGCACACATAATCAATTTTAATCACATAAAGGCACCACCAATATTGCGACGCCAGGCCACGTGCCAGTTTTTTGAATCTGCAATTCATAACACCACGTTGGTCACAGTCGAAAAACATTCCAAATGAAATCTGCGGTTCACAGTGTCGCACCATGAACTCAACTCAGTAGCTGGGCGATTAAACTACATCCTTTCAGTGTGAAAATGGAGCAAAAATGAAACCGCCACGGTCTGGCAGAAGCACAACAAATGTGCCACGACTCAAAACAGTAACTGTGCCTAGCGTCCATTTTGACTGGATGTTCTCATAGGTTAAGTACAGTAGTCAGGCCTGTGGAATGTGTTCATGCATTCTCACTCTGAATCATTTCAACTAATTTAGTGTTTTTATTATGACTTATTTGGCCACACTAATCTTTCAGCCTTCTATATTTAAAATCTGTTTCTAATCTTAGTAATTTTTGTTCACCGTCCTTTTTAGGATGAAATTTTTCATTATTTGAAGCCCCACCCTGGCTCCTGCCGGGGGCCACAATATAGCCAGGCCATAAATATGGCCCAATGGCTGAACGCGGTTTCAGGGACCTCTTCACGGTAATCCTCATCCACATGGTGGCACATTGCATCATTGGGTGTTTATCGCTTGTGTTATGTCCTGGTGGGGTAGAAAGTCAGTCAGTCAGTTTTTAATCTTTATCTTTTACAAAATGGCTGGATTTTTAGTTAATTTCTCTGCATTCATGATTAAGATCATGTTTATCTATCATTACCAATCACTGTGTTCTGCTTATTTCTTTATTATAATTTTGTACAATTAACAAAATTTTAAATCTAAAACTTAAAAAAATAAAATAAAAAAACTTGGAAACTACTGACAATAACATTTTTTAATAACATTTTAAGGAAGCAAATAATAGTCAAACTGTGGTAAGTAAAAGTCCCTTTTTGTGCCAGTGGAAAATTAGGTATATTCTTCTTCTTCTTCTTCTTCGCGTTCACCAGCTGTACACTCTGGCGGAAAGTTCTGGTTGCTCGTCCACTACTGAACTGCAGTCCTGCTCCAGAACCTGAGTGTTGCATGTGCATCAGTTTTACAGATCTCATTCTCTTGAATACAGAATGTTGGTTTCTTGCCTCTCCGGCAGATGCACTCCGACTTCAAAGCAAGCTCCCCAATTAGTCGACTCTTACGACATGCTTTTGGGGAGGCAGTGGGTCTATTCTTGTTTTCCCCACAATGGAGCCCCGGAACCCACACGGGGGATTAGGTATATGATATTAGACTTATTTTTTTATGTGCCAATCAGCCTTGATGGGCGATGTGATCAACATCATGCTAGCTGCCTTTACTTCACAGCAATTGACTCTGTACATTGAAGGCTAGGTCGACTGGAAACCAAAGCCATTTTTTTCAAAAAATACCAGCCTTGATGAAGATTAGAACTCAAGAGACCTTTGGTCCAGCACCTCCCATGACACCCCATGTGGCTCCCAACACTGTAGCCTACCATGCATTTTATTAGTGGCAACTAAGGAGTGACTGACTGACTTTCTACCCCACCAGGACATCACACAAGCGATAAACACCCGATGACACAAAGTGCCATCATGCGGATGAGGATCACCGTGGAGAGGTCCCAGAAACCGCGTTCAGACAATTGACCATATTGATGGCCTGCCTATATTGCGGCCCCTGGCAAAAGCCAGAGTGGGGCTTCAAATAACAAAAAATTACGTCCTAAGAAGGACGTAAGCGAAACGTTCGTCATTGTGTTAACTAAGGAGTGTGTTGGTATGACACCCTGGCTACAGCATCACATTAAACACTTTAGCTACACAATTTAATCCACTATGAACAAGTTTACAAATGTTTTGATATGAGTTTGCTGAAGATCTATGCTCCACTGGGAGCTGAATGATAGGAGGAGCAATCTAAGTGAGGACGCTAGAACATGTATGATCAAAGAGAGGAGACTAGAACACATGGGATCTGGGGGAGGAGACTAGTATATGCATGATCTAGGGGAGGAGACTAGATCATGTATGATCTAGGAGATGAAACTAGATCATGTATGATCTAAGAGAGGAGACTAGAACATGTATGATCTAGAGAAGGAGACTAGAATATGTATGATCTAAGAGAGGAAACTAGAACATGTATGATCTAAGAGGGGAGACTAGAACATGCATGATCTAAGAAAAGAGACTAGATCATGCGTGATCTAAGAGAGGAGTCTAGAACATGTATGATCAAAAACGACTAGAGATGCGTGATCTAGGGATCATAACACGTATGATCAAAAGAAGAGACATCAGTATCTAAGAACAGAGTAGAACATTTATGATCTAAGAGAGGAGACTAGATCATGTATCATCTAAGAGAGGAGATCAAATCATGCATAATCTAAGATGGCAGACTAGATCATGTACAATCTAAGAGAGGAGACCACATAATGTATGATCTAGGGGAGGAGACTAGAACATGTGGGATCTAAGAGTGGAGACTAGATCATATATGATCTAAGAGAGGAGACTAAATCATGCATGATCTAAGAGAGCAGACTATAAAATTTATGATCTAAGAGAAGAGACTAGAACATGTATGATCTAAGAGAGGAGACAAGATCATGTTTGATCTAAGAGAGGAGACTAGATCATGTATGATCTAACAGAGGAGACTAGAACATGTATGATCTAGGGGAAGAGACTAGAACATGTATGATTATGGGGAGGGGACTAGAACATATATGATTCAGGGGAGTAACTAAAACATGTACGATCTAGAGAAAGAGACTAGAATATGTATGATTTAGAGAAGGAGACTAGAATATGAATGATTTCAGGGAGGAGACTAGAACAAGCATGATTTAGGGGAGGAGACTAGAATATGTATGATTTTAAGGGAGGAGACTAGAACATGTATGATTATGGGGAGGGGACTAGAACATATATGATTTAGGGGAGTAACTAAAACATGTATGATCTAGAGAAAGAGACTAGAATATGTATGATTTAGAGAAGGAGACTAGAATATGAATGATTTCAGGGAGGAGACTAGAACAAGCATGATTTAGGGGAGGAGACTAGAATATGTATGATTTTAAGGGAGGAGACTAGAACATGTATGATTTAGGAAAGCAGATTAGAACATGAATGATTTAGGAGAAGAGAGCAGAACATGAATGACTTAGGAGAGGAGACAAGAACATGTATGATTTCAGAGGTCGAAGGGCAGTACCCTGAGTCAGCTTGGAACCAAGAGTCTGCATACAAATAATCCAGATCTATAAATTGTATGTGCATGCATAACTGGAGTTCTTGAGCAAGTCTAAAGTCCATATGTGGACAAATAACTAGAACTTCCTGCTGAAGTTTACAGTGGGTAAATGCTAAGAAGAAAAAGTAAGAAGAAGCAAAAGAAGAAGACACTAAGTGGTGAGAACAGGGGGGAACAAATCTCAGACTGGGCCCATTTGTAGGCTGGATCAGCATGTAAGTATGTTTTTTTTTTTTTAATTTAAAAAAAACATCTGCCTCGATGGAGATTTAAACACTAGACCTTTGGGCCAGCAATTACATCATGCGAAGTGGCATTTAATATACGTCTTGACTAAGAAATTAAGGTGCAACATTCAAACAACTATCATAGCGCAGTTGTAAGTATAAATATTTTATACAAATATTATAATTCTTTTTCTTCTTCTTTCGTTCGCTTCAAATAAATTATCTAGATCTGCAATGTAATATTATTATAATTAAATGAAACTGAATCAGAGCAGCGCGAAGAGCGGAACTGACTGAGGTGACTGAGGGAAGTATAGGAATTTTTAGGTATTATAAGTTTAAACTTTACTTTAATAATAAATTATTTTAACTTTTTTTTTTTTAAACACCATTGTTTGTTTTAAAGGAAAACCCTACGACAGT